GCTGCATCCGGCACGCGGCGCGCCAGAGTAAGCTCCCTGGCGGGCCGGGCCAGTTTTATTTACCTGCTGACGCGGCAGGTTCGGCCGATCGTGCCCCCCGCTGGCCATGGTTCGGTGTCCCGGGCCAATGGGGGCGGCGAGAAGCCGCTGCCAGCACATCGCTCGCCCACGCCGCTTCCCGCCGCCCCCATTGGCCCGGGACACCGAACCATGGCCACGATCGGCCGAACCTGCCGCGTCAGCAGGTAAATAAAACTGGCCCGGCCCGCCAGGGTGCTTATTCTGGCGAGCCGCGTGCCAAATGTTGCTGACCCCTGGTCTAGACAGAAGTGAGAAAGAGATAAGAGACAGTGGGACCTGGGCTCCTTGGTAGCAGAGAAGTGATTACATCTACTCCATAGATAACCTCTAAGCCATGTCACTAATATGAAAATAAAACATGACAAAGATTGGTGATGGACATATTTGCTTTGATATACTTTATCATGGCAAGTTCTTTAGTTATGACTTTTATGGACTCGCAGTAAGTCACAAAATTAAATGACTCAATCCATATTTTAAAACATTATGCTACCACTTCTTAGATTCATACATTCCAAAGTCAGAAGGGACCACTGGGATCATCTAGTGTGCCCTTCTGTGTAACACAGGCAATAGGACTTCCCCAAAATGTTTCCCAGAGCACATCTTTTAGAAAGAGATCCAATCTCTATTTTAAAATGATTAGAGATGAAGAATCCACCACGACCCTTGGTAAGTTGATCTAATGGTTAATTACCCTCACTGCTAAAAATTTAGTGCTTATTGCCAGCCTGAATTTGCTTCACTTCAACTTCCAACTATTGGATCATGTTACACCTTTCTCTACTAAATTAAAGATCCCATTATTAAATATTTGTTCCTCATGTAGATACTTTTAGATTAATCAAGTCACCCTTTAGCCTTCTTTTTGTTAAGCTAAATAGGTTGAAGAGCTCAAGCTCTCTCTATAAGGCATGTTTTTAAATCCTTTAAATCATTCTCACAGCTCTTTTCTGCCCCCCTCTACAATATATCAACATCCTCTTGATTTGTGGGCACCAGAACTGGACACAGTACTCCAGCAGCAGTTGCACCAGTACCAAATAAAGCAGTAAAATAACCTCTCTACTACTACTTGAGATTCCCATGTATGCATCCCAGTAGCTCTTTTGGCCAAAGTGTTGCACCAGGAGCTCATATTCTGCTGATTATTCACCATGACTCCCAAATCTTTTTCAGAGTCACTGCTTCCCAGGATAGAGCCCCCCATCCTATAAGTATGGGCTGTATACATTTAACCATATTAAAACCACAAGTTGGTTGCTTGTGCCCAGTTTACCAAGTGATCCAGATTGCTCTCAGTGAACTTTCCTCTTCATTATCTACCACTCACCCAATTTCTAGGTCATCTGCAAGCTTTCCGTGATTATTTTATGTCTTCTTCCAGGTCATTGACAAAATGTTAAATAGCATAGGACCAAGAATCAATCCCTGCGGGAAACACATGCTTGATGACGATTCCCCATTTACAGTTATATTTTGAGATTGGGGAGGGATAGCTCAGGGGTTTGAGCATTGGCCTACTACATCTAGAGTTATGAGTTCAATCCTTGAGGGGGGCCACTTAGGGATCTAGGGCAAAATCAGTACTTGGTCCTGCTAGTGAAGGCAGGGAGCTGGACTCAATGACTTTTCAGGGTCCCTTCCAGCCCAATGAGATAGGTATATCACGTAGCTGGTTTTTAAACCACGTAATGTGTACAATATTAATTTCATATTCTAATTTTTTCATCAAAATGTAGTGCCTTACCTAGTCAAACGCTTTACAGAAGTTTAAGTATAACTAATGGGATATATATAAAAACAGATTTACTGGACTGGTTGTGACATTATGAAAGAAGTGCCCTTCAACTTTTCTGCCATTCACACCCTGCCAGAGAGAGTCATAGTTCATTCTTGGTTTGTGGCAAAGATAGGCAAACCAGTTATTTGTTTTTGTTCTTAATAAAAAATCATCAGCTTGAAAGTGAACCCCATCACTGCACTGGACCTGAGCTTACAAAACTATGGAATGGTTCTGATAATGGACTTCCTTCTTCCTACATAAACCAACAGGCTCAAATCACCCTTCTCCAACTTCCTCTTCTGTGACCCTCTAATAGGTATTCAAATTAGACACCCAAAATCAGTGGGTACTTTTGAGCTTAATATCCCTCTGCCTCAGTTCCAAACTGTAACAGGGATAATAAGCACCCCCCACATTCACAGGTTCTGTGAAAATAAATTCATTAATTTTCATGAAGCACTGAAATACTATAATGAGAAGTGCCATAGAGAAGCTCAGGAGGAAATTAATAATTCTGTCTTCACAGCTTAGAATAGTGTGAAGTAAATAAGGCATGAGGCCTCCAACTCAAAGAAGAAAACAAAATACTGAAGAGATGCTCATTAATAGAGCACTGTCCATTCTATGCACTGAACGAGGCAGGGGGCCTATGGGGGAAAAACAGTATGTGATTATCTGATTAAAAACTGTATAATGATGCATGTGCACCAGGGGGGCAAATTAATGTTGCACAGGTAACCTATATGTTGGCGTTTCCTAACTTTTGAGGTCTTTACTTAGCAACCCTGACAATTTTCTTTTAATGTAGCTATATTTCCCCCTATACAACAAGAATTAC